TGAGTGATTCCGGTCACTCATATATAGCCCGCTGAATTTATAACGAGCTATTCAATTCAATTCATCAACCCCACATTTCCCTGCTGAATATCAAATCCCTCCCCGGCTTTAAGTTTCTATGGTGTATACAACCCTATGAATAACAAAGAAAACCTAGTGAATTGGAAACTAATGATGCTTTATATCCCTAACCTTTCAGAACAGCAAGTCACAACTGGTCACTATCAGTGTATGGATACGTCAGGTACGTTGCACTGTAGAAGCTTCTGCTATAGAGGAAAAAAACTTAGATGAAATAGCTTACTGACATTTCGGAAGTTAATCTTTCGTCACTTTTACTTCGACGAAGGACTGAAGTCCCGGCGAAACGTCAGTAAGTTCTTTCACCTAGAGCGGATTTCGTATGAGTGGGACACCGTTACCGCACGGTTTATACCGCACAGTTACCGGACCTGGCCTGCAGAATTTTGGTGAAACAATGGGGCACTCGAATTTGGTTACAGTACGATTACGGTCACCGTACAGTACCGTCCGTTTCCCACTCATACGAAATCCGCTCTACTTTCTTTATGGCGTTAAAATTTACTCATATTGCACTACTGTTTCTTTAGAAACAGTTTACCTCTCGTTTACCGCTAGTTTCCAAAAAATCCATTAGAAATAGTTCTCCTTCGCTAAGTTTAAGTCACTCTTCACCAAAACGTTTTCAGCATAGCGCAGGTTACTTTGAAGAGAATTATTCCCTCACAAAAATATATAATTTGTTCCAGAAATGGAAGAACCCATTCATGTCATGGAATGCATCCGATTATGGAGGAATAGACGTAGTTAATCTTAACCCAGAAAGATTATGGATTCCTGACGTTATATTGTATGATAAGTAAGTATTCACTTTCACTTTTACACTCTTTATTATCATTTGGATCAATATATAATTGACATAGAAATGGAAGAAAGTTACAGTGCTTAGAAGGAGGCAATTCCGGGAGAAAGACCCTTAGGAATAATTACGGAAAAATTAATTTCCGACCTCGCTGGGATTCGAACCCACGACCTTCGGATTTGTACTACCGATGCTCTACCAGCTGAGCTACAAGGCCAGACTGGGCGCACTGGTCGTCGGGGGTGGAATAGATGTTAGGTTGCGGTAATAGAATAATGTAAAGATATGAATATGAGGACCGCATGGCACTATGATAGAAACGATATAGAAATGAAAGAAAGTTATAGTGCTTAGAAGGACTAAGCACTATAACTTTTTTTCATTTCTAAAGGGTTTATACATAATTAATGAGTTATTAGGCAAATAGAATGAGCCTATTTGGTTCTCCGCCTTCGGCTCGAGTCTTTATACCTGATAAAACACTCTCTCTCGTGTTTTAATCTATACTTAATACTTACCTTTCAGTGCCGACGAAACGTACGCCGGAGGCCTTGAGAAATACAAGACGTCAGTCATTGTGTACAGCGATGGTACAAACGAATGGAATTCCCCAGCATCCTTCACGAGTACGTGTAAAATTAACGTCAAGTACTTTCCATTTGATAAACAAAAATGTTCACTAAAATTTGGCTCATGGACTTATATGGGTGACCGCTTGACAATGACATCAGCGTCCGACTCTGCCGACCTTAGCATGTACGTGAATAATGGTGAATGGCACTTGTTGCAAATGCCAGCGGTTCTCAACAAAGTCTTTTACAATTGCTGCAAATTTCCTTTTTATGACGTCACACTGCATCTAATTATAAAGCGAAAGCCGCTGTACTATGTATTTAACTTAATTCTTCCTTGTGCTTTGATTGCTACTTTGACTTTGATAAAGTTCTTCCTGCCTCCAGAGTCTGGGGAGAAAGTTGGCTTGGGTATCACGGTTCTTTTGGCTATGACCGTGTTTTTGCTCCTTGTAGCAGAGACTTTACCATCGACTTCTGACAATATCCCTTTACTCGGGCAATACTTTGTGGCTACCATGTTTGTAACGGCGGTCTCTTTGGTCGTCACATGTATAATTTTGAATTTTTTCCATCGAAATCCAGCAACATCGCCTATGCCACGTTGGGTCAAAGTTATCATCCTTGACTATATGGCGAGGGTCTTTTGCTTTGGCGTCTTCCACGAGGAGGAAAGCAAAATTCGACCCAAGAAACGAAAAAGTCGTATCGACCTTGACGTCACTTTGCCCGAGGGAGAACTGGGCATGGATGATTTGGTATCATTGCGTGAAATCGACAGCTCACGTACGGCAAAGTTTTCAAGAATGGACTCCCTACATTATCCCAGCGGTCGCAGCACTCCATGCAGGCGCAGTATTAGTATGATGAGTACTAACAATCATATAAACTCGCTTACTGAAAGACTATTGGAGGATATCAACATCCTCGCAGATGACGTCAGAGAAAAACAAGAAGATGAGAGGCTGAGGGAAGAATGGCGGTGTGCAGCACTCGTGTTAGATCGAATGTTCTTTTGGATCATGTCAGTTGTTTCCATTTTAACTTCGTTCCTAATCTTCTATAGAGAGCCAGTATTGGAAGGTTAATAACTTATGGAGACACTCAATAGGAAAGGGAAAGACCATTTCAATTGAAATTTGCAGTGCAAAAGTTCAAGAGTTTTCAAGGTTCAAGTGGCTGGACAAATATATTGATTTAGTATATGAAGTCAGCCAGTCCGATCGGTTTTTATGCGAGGTCTTAAGAAGACAGCAGTTCCCCCAAGAACTAAGTATAGCTTATATTCTGTTTATTGATGTCAAGAAAAAAACAAACTTATTCAAAAATGCTCGATTATAACTCAATTCTTGAACACAGTTGTTATACTAGGTAGAAGAAATCTAGCAAAACATCAGCAACTCTTGATGGTGCTTGACAATATGACCAACATTACCACTTTGAATTGCTTTAAAAGGTACAAAATACGAGCTGTGGCCCGGGCATGACACTAGGTCCGTTTCCGCTGAGTTCGATGCGACCTGTAAAAAAGTAAGGCATTGAAATATAARATCTTAAAAAGGTAAAAAATCTCGTTCAAGGTTGCGTAATAAGGCAACACTCATGCTAACGTGCGTGCTAAAAAAAATACAACAAACGCTTTACAGTGAAACTTTTTTCCTCGTAAAACTCAAAGACAAAGAACATGTGATCACTGCCACAATCTTCAAGTTAAGATTGCATCGATTTCGCTGTTCCCAAACTGTAAGAACGTATGCCTCAGCATTTTCTACAGCATTTGATACAAACAGAAAACATCAATAGTATATGATAAGGACTTATCAGTTATTCCTGGCAATTTACTAGGCTTCGAATGATACCTGTCATTGGTAGTGAGGATTTTCCAAATGCATTAGTTCTGGCCGACATATGAACGTTTGGCACCTCATATTACGCTGGTTTGACATGAGTTTAGTTYAAACCTTAACTTTCGACCATAGCAAATTTTCAACATAAAAACAAGAACTTAATTAGATCCTCCTAATTAAATACTCTAAAGGCTTCAGTTCAAACGTCGTTCTTTTCATGGGCTATGCTTTATTACAGCAGTAAATATTAAACCAAAGTTCACTTTCCCCCATTGTTTTTTACTGATAAAACAACAATAACAGATCAATTAATATTTATCTCGGGTGTCTTTTGTTCTTGTTTATTGACAAACTATATAAGCTTTAATTAGAGAGTGGATCCTTTGCTGCCGGAAACCTGAGCATTGAAAGACTATCAACGTGAACTAAATATTCTCCAAAGTCTCCCAATTGGCAATGCAAAAAAAAAAAAAAAACTGCGCCCGTGAAAAGTACTTCTTCTGGACTTGATCTTTGACTTGGTTTCGTATGAAAATGCACAGCATTTCCTGATGTAGTTCTAAGTCTACTTTAATGTGTTAAATTTATTTATAAATAGTTGTAGGTTTAGAGAATTCTAAAATCACCCCTAATCTAATAAAGAAGACGGATTTTATTTGACTTTGCAAAAGTCTACTACTGTATATGTTAAAAATAAAATATCGACTAAAGTTTTCCCGGCTTCAATATTGCTTACCTTAAATACATTTCGAAAACTTCTTTCTGTTCACTTTCCCACTTGTCGCCCTTYCGATGGAGAAAATAGCTTTTCCTCTTGTGTCCAATATTTCAAATTTCTCTTTTTCTTCTCTTTCCTCTTGATGACTGTTGTTTCTTTGGGGGTTCTGTTTGCTAATAAATCTCTTCTCGGCGATGTTAGAAGAACGAATTCCTCCCTTCTTAATAACAATCGCTTCTTTTCCTAATCCTTGTTCCTTGTTTGCTGTTGTTCGAATTTCTTGATTGYTGTTTTAGTTTTTAGCGAAATAAATTATTACGTYGCGTACTCTTTGAAAAAGTGTCGTGTGGCCTCATCATCTTCTTMTAATATGAGAAACGGGCCACCGAATAAAAACTAGTGAAACACTCACCCTCATTAATCGAAATTCCGATTACTGAAAATTATACAAATATTCTCGAYGAGCAACATTTATGCAAGGAGGATAGCTCTGTACAGACGTTACTAAGAGGCCAGCACACAAATCTAACGCAGTTAACGATTTGATAGAAGTTTTCCATCACTTCAAATCACCTGTTGGAGCAGGGAAAAAATCCAAGAAATGATGAGCGCAACATGATGACACTTGTAGGACGTTATTGGGTGAGGTTGGAAACCATCAAATTTTGAGMAAGGAAACCTRACKCRGCGYTGGAGCGTATTTTTTRAAAGAATTTCTTATCMTGTGRMAAMTTCCWGAYATTTYGACCATTTTCGAATTTAGCGCAACACTACCYAACATGCACGCAAAATTCTACGTGTGYGTAAGGTTGAATCTGCTTCGTGATTTGATTTAAACGTTTGCAGTTTTCGAGAGAAAAATTMTTTTGCCCAAYCGTTTAGAATGTASATGTAAARCTCACGTAGCATCATGTTAGCGGACTACATGTACGTCGAATAAACCTACGAAATGTTTCAGAGACCTTCGGACGCTTCGATATTTAAAACATTTCTTTATTACAGACACTCTCTTCGTATCCATCGTTGATATCCGCCGATATAGTCGGTTGAATATATTACTTAAAAATAGTAGTACATTGTTTTATAAATGCCTCACTTAGCAATTGACTGTTCGTTTTGATCCGGATATCCAGAGTCCCTGAAGGGCCCACAGTTCCATGCAGTAAACATACAGGATCTTGAAGTATAGTTCCAGCAGCTATAATCTTTGAATCTATCACAAAACACAGGTAGACAAGATAAATAAATAGATAAACAAAAGCGTTTCAAATCATTATCTCCAAGAGGGGCGTCTATCCTTTGAGACATCACGTGAAATACTGTTTATGAATGGGTTCGTTGCTCCGCAATGCTGTTTTACGATKATTTCAAAATCTCCAMGTATGAACAGGGAATGTGTATGCAAGACGAACGCCRTGACCACATGAGATTRAATGCACTTACCGATAATATCTACTTTCTTCAAACCAAGACCTTCTTCCATCAGTTYAACAAATTTGTCAGTGCTACTAATATTAGTACTAATACTCTKGCGTTTCTCGAACGGTGTTTCACTCCATTGGGCCCCAAAAGAGTCGGTGTCGATGGTAAGAGAACGAACAAGATCTCTAAGGGGCAGTGTAGTGCTTATAAATAGAGTCTTTGCTGTATTGGTATAGTCTTTATAAGTAATCTTGCCACCAAGTGTCATGTGCAAGGCTGGTGACTTGTATTTCAACCCGACGCAGTGAGTTATCTGAACGAAAAGAATATGTCATAAACGATATTTCAGAAAATGTAAAGGAAATGGGTGGTTGGCAAAGTTAGTTAATTTAAGAAATTCCAACTAATTAGGGTTAAAGGAAACGAGAAAAGAAAAAGAAAATAGGAAAGAGAAGACAATGACGAAGATAACCTGAAATGAAATGAATAATAAAAAAAAAACAACAGAGAAAGAAAAAAAATACAATTAATGAAAGGCAGACAGAAGAAACAGAAGAATGGAAAATGGTTACCCAAAATTATGCATGAAAGAAAAACAAAACAAAACAAAACAAAACAAAAAAACAAAACACACACACAAAAAAAACAAAAACAAAAAGAAGAAGAAGAAAAAAATAAAAAAACAGCTACAAAAAAGAAATACTCAAAAATTGCTCACTTACCGATGACAAAGGCTCTAGAATATGATCCACGAATCGATTATCGTTCGTCGAATCGAAAGACGCTCGAAGGTTTGAAGACGTCTCAAGCACGGTTACCACATTTGTCACTGGTGAGTTTCCCTGGCTTTGATTGGTTAAAAACAAAACCAAAACCAGTTCATCCGGTTTGTAGACTTTTTGAAGAATAACTCGTAAATTTGCGTCACT